CACACAGCAAACCTGAACACTACTAACTAATCTGTAGAGCAATGATGTCGTTGGTGGTGTAAGGATTCGTAGTGATATCTAGGCTCAAATTTGGCGAAGCTGGGAAAAACGGAGAGTTTCGATAACCGAGGGACCAACACAGACCTTAAAACCCGCAGTTCTGGAGAAATGATCTCCGGAAATAATAATATGATAGTATTATTATATTATCACATCTCAGATGTAGCCTCCCAGAAGGTTTTTTCTTTCTTTCTTTCTTTCTTTTTTTGAAACAATTTAAACGAAGACCAGGGAGAAGGAAAGCGTGCTAGAGTGCCGGTGGGTGGTAGGATAGACATTAAACTCTCCCCGACCATCCATGGGGAACAAAAAGTCAGATATAGATTCTCCTGGAGCCTCCAAAACCACGACATCACGAGAAAAGATAAACCTTCAGAAGACGATCATGTCAGTCGAGATACGGTGGGATATTTATTGAAACACCTGCAAGATCCCCGCAACCCTCTCATTCACCTACGAGTCTACCCGGGGCGACTGCGCGCAGAAGCGCACAGTTTAAGCTCAAATAAGGGATTCAGGAGAAATGAAACAACGGCTCTGGCTGTCAGTAGGGTTTTTTGTTCCCCCCGGAGGGGGGGGGTCTTTGATATTCGGAACATTGAGATCTCGGTAAAGGGTTGTACGAGTATCATACAAGGAACCCAGATTTATTGAGATGATTCCTTTTTCTTTCTTTTCGTCTCCTTTCAATTTCTGAAAGTTGACAGCAGGCCGTGGTGGGTCTACACTCACCACCAACACAGCTTCTGTTATACCGTCAACTTTCTTAGCAACTATGTTACATGTACTAGCACGAGTACAGAGCAGGTAGGTCACAGTATGCTACAACCGAGGTAAGAAAAGTGCGAAACCTCCATCATCATTTCTCCAGGCTTGTGGTGGGGTATATTGATCTCGTATTCGCTTGTTATCCTATTAAGGACGAAGTTGAGGATAGTTATACGATAACAATAATTGGGGGGACAACGCCAAGACCAGGGAGTAGAGATGTGTCCATTCAATGAAATGCACTCAGATCTACGTTCGTAGATGAAAGTGCTGTATGATTGCTGACATACCAGTACATGTATCATACTCGAGCGCCGTACTCGTACAGTACGGTAGTCTACCCCTGAGACGACCAACCGATCACTCACCTACCAGCACGAGCACTATCACCATCACCCACGGCCTGCATCAAATGCCAAGATATAAAACGTCCCAGATGAGAGACCAGGATGTCAAACCCCTGTTCACCATCCGTCTTGGCAAAGCAACAAAGTGCGAGAAATCGAAATTACCATCCTTTCGCCAGCAGGGAAATACGTTCCCCAATCAATTCCCACCTCCAATATCCCACCTTCCCCCCCCAATCCCCCCCTCCAAGACACGGCTTCAGGGCCTCCCGGACTAACGATTCTCCTAACTGCTTAGCTGCGTTACAAGTGATTTACCATAAAAAGCGCACTTGCACTCGTTCGCTAGAAAGTACCCCTGCAGTAATTAGCTCTATTCTAATAATTACTGGACATGACTTAATCAGGGTACAAGCAGCAAGTACTAGCACTGAGTACAGTACTCGTACACCGTTCCACACGCAACAAACACCAATCAAGGTGGCGGAAAAAGTAACCATCACTTAACTAAAGCCATCCATCCCGGCCGACAGTCCATCCGACAGGTAAACCAACCGCCACGCCTAAATCCCAAGCAAAAGTTTAATTTCCACAACTTTTTCTTTCTTTTCTCTCTTCCACCGAGTACCGTTTGCTGGCTGGCCTGCTACTTGTAGCTTCGTGCCCATCGGGTATGTACCCCGTACGGATGAAGGCCCAACCGTGTACCCGCTCCCCTCCGATCCCCTACGGGGTCCATTCTGTGAGGGGGATATAAACCGATACTTTGCCCCTCCTTTTGTCTCCTCATCCCCAACAGGCATCAAGAAGGAAAGGAAGGAAGGAAGGAAGGAAGGAAAAGGAGGGTAATCGTCAACCAACGCGTCAACATCTTTCCTTTTACCAACAAAATGAAACTCACGATCTTTGCCCTCTTGTCTATTGCCTCCACCCTCGTTTCCGCTAGCGGTGGGCTCGCGTTGAGAGCTGGGAATTGTCCAGCTGCTGCGTCCAAGATTTGTGGGAGCGGGGCTGGTGGATTGAAGGATTGTTGTCCACAGGGCACGATCTGTACTGTTGTTGGGCGGAAGACTTACTGTTGTTTTCCTGGTAGGGTTTTCCCCCTTACTCTACCATTTCCCATCTCGTGGAGTCGTCTTTTTTTTTCCTTCTTCTCCAGGCGAGCCAGGCCGTTAATCATATTCAGGAGATGAAATGTGTTCTCAGGGCCGCATAACCACATGCGCAGTATCCAGTTGGGGCACAAATTCGACAGGATATTGTACTCCTCCTTCTTCTCCCCCTTCTACCGGTAGTACTGTTACAAATGTATGATTCTTCCTACATACCTACCCACCTGCCCATCGGCCGATGGCTAATCCCTCGCAGACTACCGCGGCCCCAACAAGCACTAGAACCGGCTACACCACTATAACAGCTATGCCAACGACGACGGGAATAGTAACGGACTCGGCACCGATACCGAATATCACAATGACAGGCGCCGCTGCAGGGCCCCCGGATTTCCACCGGGGTGTGAGCATTGGAGGCTGGCTTGGCGCTCTAGTGTTGGGGTATCTGGCTCTGTAAGCAGGGACGGGCTGGGTGAATGTGAATGAATGCATGGAGGATTTTAATTTGAGTCAATAGAGCTGTTACTATTACTTTTTACTTTACCTCCATACTCGAGCACATCTCCAGGGCCGCTGAAAGCTTGAAAATTCTGTGCCGTGCCCGTCAACTTCCGAGTTGAGGGTTAATAAGCCACTCTTCGCTAATGACTAAAATTTCGCGGATGTGCACAAATGTCACACTTCAGACCAAAGCCTAGACATGTGATCACACCCACGTTCACAATGGCTGAGGAATGCTGAGGGTGCCCTCCTTAGTCATCCATGCCTTAGAGACTGACAGGGGCGACACTATAATATATTATTATCACGGCTAAGGAGACAATTAATTATATCATCTAATTTGCGACTCCTTCCAAACTCGGTCGTTGTGAGATGAGAGATGCTGGTGCCCACAGATTTTGGAAGGAGAGCGGATGGGGGGAAAGTGACCCGTCGAGTGATTATATGTGTTGACTGAGACCAACGCGAGTGGGCCGTGGAAGAGTTGGGCGGGAAGTGGCTTACCGGTTGTTTGTATGATAGGGGGAGGGAGGGGGTCAAACAAGCATATAATAAAAGGGATTGGGGAGACTCGATATTTATTTCCGTCAAGATTTGGTGACAATCTTACGCCACCTGCCCTCCTAACACACACAAGTCCCTCCTCGATCGCCCCGAGACCACGTATTACTACTGTACGAGTACGGGTAGAGAGGGTTATCCTTTTCGATAGATGTATTGCATCGAAGGCCCGGCACACCCGATTCGTCAATTACACTTCCTCAAGATTGCCAGAGACAAGATGCAATGGACTGCCGGTGTGCTATGATACGATGGTGTACTGTACTGTACGAGTAGACCTCCTCTCGGGCCGTGATTCCTTTCATGCAATGTACAGTACAGTACCGCTTGCGCAGAAAGAGAGCAGTGGCGCGAAGACGGTTACACGTAGAGAAATATACTGTTTTGTTATATTTGCATACGGCAGCGGATATCAAACGAGGTGCTTTTTACCCCCGAGCGGAAAACAATCAATGCTCACTCACCGGTCCCGTCGCTCCGCTCCGCTCCCATCCCATCTCCCCACGCTGCGGGAATACTTGTACGGTACAGACGCCACATCTAACCGTACTACCCAAGTACTTCCAACAGGTAATTTCGAGTAAAAGTACCGGTATGGTATGTTAGAAGCCAACTCACGGTACGGTAGAAGAAACGCTCCGACCAGTTCATACTTGAACGCAACTTGACGAGGATTGGCCCCGGTCTGCCATGAAATAAATTTACCTGTACGAGTACTCGTACTGATCGATCGACGATTATTTCATTGCGCACACACACCCCCGTTTTTTCCCCTTCCTTTCCTTTCCTTTTCTTTCCTTTCTTTTTTCGTGGAATGGCGTTGCGCCACAATCCCTCCCTACTCGTCTCGTACACATCCATGGAGGTAGCCACTATTCATGAGACCATCGAGCAATAGTCTAATGAAGGGCTGTACGAGTACAGTACTGTACCTCAGGATAGAACTCCGTCTCTAAAAATGTCCCCTCCTTCAACCCGCTTGCTGTGCCATGCCATGCCATTTCGGCCGAGTGAGGGCTGCGGTATTTTTCATCCCTAGAGTTACATGCTGGCGTGCATTCAGCTACGAGAATGATTGTGCTTGTATCATACGCGCACGTGTAGTGTGCGGTACAGTACCGAACTAATTGGTCAAAAACAAAGTGTGCCTCAATTTACTCGTAGGCCAGCGAGATTTTGCGAGAAAGTTTCCCGAGAGAAAGAGAGAATCAGGTTCTGACCATCATTTGGTGCGGCGTCTCACTCCAAAGTTTTCACCCACCGGTAGTCGAGAGAGAGAGTTTCCAGTGTTCTAGAGGGTTGCTCTGGCTCGACTACTGGGCTGCTCTTCATTTGACCACTATAGCGCTATTTCTAGTTTAACCAGTTTATGAACGCGAGTACAAGTACTATACGCGAGTACGCTGCAATCACCGTTAAGTTAATCTAAAGTCGGGGTGCCTGCCTCTCCCACGTTATTCGTACCTCGGGATATGGTGGATCCATGCCAGTGAGGCGTTGGTCTTATCCTTATCCCTATCCCTACAGGTCTTAACTCAGGCATCACCCGGATCACCTTGCAACAGATAAATTAATCCCCGAGAGACGGCAAAAACACTCGGGCCAGATGCTCTCCTTTGTTCTTAGGACAAAGGAATGTCGTACCAGGGAATGTATAATGGTATAATTCAGGTATAAACCGTGCTATCTAGAGTCTATATAATGAACCAGGAGCTCGACGACAGATCTATATCATATCCTTGACGATTTTATTCCCCGGGTCTGAAGGTGCCGCCAAGGAGGAGTGCGGGCTCGTTGACGTTGTTGTGTGCATAACTGGTGGGTAGGTGGTCAGTTTTACCATGCATTGAGAATAGAGGGGGTGAAGGAGCATACGTAAGTGTGGCAATTCCACCAGGCTCAAGAACCATAGTCAAGGGAAAATCCAACGAGAATCCAAGCCAGCGCTTCGTGAAGGCCCTCAAATAGTGACCATGAGAAACCTAACGACCACCACCGCCAGGTTAGCCAGAGCCCACTAACCAATAGACGAAAAACCAACAATCAAGATGTCCACGTCCCCCCTCCCCGCCTCTATCCCACCTCCCTGAATACCACGGATCTCCTTAATAATCTCATCAATCCTCGCTTCAATCCCCTTGGGACTCTCCCCCTTCCCAATCCCAAACCCATCCACCGAGTCCTCGCACCCATCCTTCCAAATACTAAACCCCTCAACAACCAACCCTCTCCTCCTCCGGTCCGCCAGTATCTCCTTCGGCCTCAAGCCCTCATACCGTCCATAGCCCCATTCCCTCACCCGCTCGTCGAAAATCACCTCCGTAGCCCGGGTATCCGGAATGAGCAATTCGGCCGTGCGCCGCGCGCGGATCCGCGGGGAGATGTATATTTTCGTAAGGTTTGCGGGGTCGATGTGCTTCGAGGGGCCGATTAGGGCGGCGGAGGAGAGGGTAACTTGGGTTTCGCCGTGGGGGGTTAATGGTATCTCGCTTACGCCGGTGTGCTGGCCGGTTAGGGTCCAGGCGGTTTCGCCGTGGCGGGCAAGGAAGAGGCGAGGGGTTGGCATTGGGGATGGTGGGGTATCGGTGATGAAGCAATGCGGTGGAAGTTCAACGGGGGACGGGTTAGACTATGGCTTTCGATGATTTGAGTGGTTGGGGTTGCGTTGGCAGGAGGTGGGAGGGTTAGGGTTCTTGGGAGGGGTAAGTCTAGACGTCCCTTCGTATCCTATCGTACCGGTCGATATCACACCTTTTTCGAGCACATGGACTACTAGCAATAGCGCCGCTAACCTGCAATGTGCGGGGGGACAGCCTACAATCGCCTAAGGGCCCGTTTGGTTGATGGATTTCTCCATGCGTTGCGGCCCCTAGATGTTGCACGTAAAACCCGAGACGACCTCCAATCCATGGATATGAAAAATACTCTAGTAGCGGTACTGCACAAGTAGACTACCGTGCGACCGTCTGCTGTTTGGTTGTGAAATCTATTAGAAAAATAATTATCCCTAACTTTAGAGGTAATTTTTCACATGGATTCAGAGGACTCAAGCACAACACCACCAAATTACCCGCTTTTCAAGCACTGAGTTGCATGAATCAGGACCGGCCAATTTCACCGTCGCAGCCAAAAATCTTCCCCTTGTTTAGCGTCCTGAGGAAAAACAATCCATGGGTTGAAAATCTATGGGGAATATTCCATAGAATCTCAATCCGTGGATCGGCTGCAACAAGTAATCAGTAATCCAAGCAGGCCTAGTGTTGCGAAAAATTATTGGCTGGGTCATAGTGAAGATTAATGGCTTTTCCTATTTATCGTTGGATGTTCGTGTCGGGATATCCACCTTTGTACCAGGTGTATGGAAAGTGAAGAGATGGGGAAGAGTTAGCCAATGCTTGGCGCCAGATGCGGGCGGTGCAACCTTGGCCGATTTTTGGGCGAGTTGGGATCTGGGGAACTGCCGTAGCCTCATCTTTTGAAAGTTGGATGAGTCAAAAGCCAGCCTTATGATTTCTTACTCCCCAACACCTTATATTCCCCTCTATGCAATATGTTCTCCTGTAGGCTTCCTTACACGAACAAACCCCGCCATCCTGGAACACGAGGCTCGAGATTATTGAGCGGCTTCATCTTCAGGTAGTTGTTTAGACACGATTCGAGGTACACTTTAGCATACCACACAACTTCCCTCCTCCATTCCTCGCTTCACGAAGCCACAATGACTACCACCCTCTTCCCAACAACCTACCCAACCGGCAAATTCATCCTCGCCGCCTCAACCTGCACCTACCACATCCCCACCTCCTCCATCGTACTGGTGCACAAGCACCACTCCCCCTCAACCCCACGCACCTCCTGGGACTGGTTCCTCCCCCGCGGCCGCAAAGACATAAACGAGTCCATCCATGCCACCGCCATCCGCGAGACGAGCGAAGAATCCGGGTACACCCCCACGCTGCTCGCAACATCGCACAACACGCTACAGCCCGGCTCCGACGAGGAGCACGCAGAAGCATTCCACATGCAATTGATCCCGTACTTCAAACGCGCCGGGGTGTGCATGTATGTTGCGTTTTATTACCTGGCCACCATTGCGGACGTGGTGCGTGCGGAGGATTACGGCGACGGGTTCGATGGCCGGCACGAGGCTGGGTACGAGAGTGAGGTTGTGAAGATTGAGGAGGCAGTGGAGGTGCTGAGCGGGGGGAAGTATGTACTTAGGGACGGTGAGGTGTATGACATTGTCGAGAAGAGGATGGTGGGGGTGGACGGGGTTGTTGACAGGTTTTTTGAAGTGGGTGTTGTGGTCAGAGGGTGGAGGGAGGTCCAGAAGCATTTTGCGAAGGCCGGGGGGCAGGGGGTGCAGTTAGGAGACCACATTTAAAGACGTTAGCTTAGACTAGGGTAAAGGGGGTATGTCTTGATCATTATAACGATTTCTCCATCAATTGGAGACATGCGAGGCACCTAGTGCGGTTGGAATTAGGTAGTCTTAATATCCGATATCTATAATCCGGGCTCACCACTTGCAGTAATAATTCTCCCAAAAATATGATTCCGTGAGATGTATAAGTGGATTGTGGATGGTTGATGAGTAAAATACGGCGGACGGCCCTGTGATACGCGTCCCGAAAGGACCCCATCTACTCGAGTAGCCAGCTCGTCCCCGGCCGAAGCTCTTTCCGATTAACCACGAACTCGGCTCTCCTTTCCCCCCCCCCGACGACAAAGCTCCAATTAGCCACTAGGGAACCATACTACGGGCCACGCCCAGCCTACACTCCCTCAAACAGTCGACCAGTGTGTGAGCGAAAAGTTCAAAGCTGCAAAGCATCCCTATCGGAGCATACCGGTAGCGTGTTTTCGGGATTCAGCACGCCGGACCACATGCCGCAAATCACGGTTGGGTAGCGTGTAGTAATCATGTGCGGTCACTCGTAAAGATGACCATTGGCCACGGTTCCGTAGTGCCAAAGGCGGGTCCTGGGGAGATCCCTGGGTGGGTCCGCCAACTACGAGAGTTCGGGTCGTAAAGACCTGTTAGCAAATTTTAAAGGGTCGGAATTGACCTTATAATATAACTTACTCGTACAGTACACGCCAAGTGCTCCGAATAATATACCGATACGATGCAGGAGCTACGGTATTCGATTGGCGAAATGATGTCCGGGTCTTGCGATCCGAAAAGTGCTGTATTATCGAGTAGATGAGCGAATAATGAACACTGGAAGATACCGGTGCCAGAGCCGGATTACAGACATAGCGGGAATATTCGATAGCCCACAGAGCAACCGGCCTCAGTGACCACAAACCCCACCGTGTCGCACCCCTTTCCTCGCATTATCACACATTCTATCATCGTCATCGCCCGATGACACCCCCGAACCCTCGGTTAAGCCGCATCACACCACAAACCCAAGACCTTCCGCCGCGGGAAAAGCCGAACGAGCCATACCAATCCCCCGCAAATTCGTCCTTGCGGGGTTGTGGGGCCCATCATCGCGCCGGTACAAGTACCCTACGATACCAGCTCTCGCACGTCAATACCAAGATAACCGGTAATCCACAATGGCAAAAATCTACCGCCCAAACGACGCTTCGCTTTCACCGCTATCCTCAAAGACAATACTGTTCGCAGGATACGGAAACCAATCACGCTCCCAGGCTCTCAATCTCCGTGACACGTTCGCCTCAAACCCCGACGTCTCCGCGCCAAAGATATTAATCGCCAACCGCACGGATTCGTATCACGAGACTGCGATCGCGGATGGGTTTTCGGTGACCAGCTTCGCGGAGGGGGCGAAAGAGGCGGATGTGGTGTTCCTGCTTGTGCCGGATCAGGTTGCGCCTGCCCTATACAATTCAGAGATAGGGCCCAACCTGAGGACGGGTGCGTTGGTGGTCGTAGCGAGTGGGTTTAACGTCTTTTATAAAAGGTTGGAGGTTGAGGGTGTTGATGTTGGCATGGTTGCGCCGAGGATGATTGGTGCGGGTGTTAGGAGTAGGTTCCTGGAAGGGGGAGGGTTTCCGTGCTTTGTTTCTGTAGAGAATGTATGGTACTTCTTTCACTGTTGTTACCCCTTAACTTTGAAAAAGTGGGGCTAATAAGGGGTGCGATAGAATTTCAGTGGAAGGGCGCTGGAAATGATCTTGTCCCTTGCCTTGGGGATAGGAGGGTTAACGGCTGGTGCTGTCGAGTGCTCTGCTCGCGACGAGACGCTCATGGACCTATTCGCTGAGCAAGCGGTCTGGCCGAGTATTATCGTCGCATTTAGAGAGGCGTATTCCACTGTTCTCCACCATTCCGCTCCCCCTCCCCCTCCCCCTTCACCTCCCGCTTCGGCTAACCGTCATAGTTGAAAAAACTCGGCTGCTCCGACGAAGCGCTAGTTCACGAACTCTGGCTGAGCAAAGAGCCCGCAGAAGTATTCGAGAAATGCGCGGAGGACGGCTTCATCGCGCAACTAAAGTACCATAGCACCGTCAGTCAGTACGGCCAACTCAGCACCAGTCTAGGCATGGACGCTACCAAATTGCAAGAATTCTTCAAGAACGTTGCAGGTGCGTTGGGCATTTTTAGACGGGCAACCCACTGATTTTTGGTGGCGGTGACTTACGATTACCTGCATGAGTTTACTTGAGCAGAGAAGCGAATTCTGGGCGGTGAGTTTACGAAGGAGTTTATCGACATTGATAAGGAGGGGGGCGGAAATGGGTTCGTTTTTCTTTCCCTCCCTTCCATCATACCTGGGGTGCTATACTTTGGGCGAAAAGGCGCTTCTAACGAAACTCATGACGGATAGGATGGAGAGAAAGCTGGGAGGGTTATACGCAGCAGCGTCGACTTCGGAGCTGGCGGTTGGCGAGAAAAAGGTCAGGGAGAGAATGGGATTGGACAAAGTTTGATTAAAGCTTAATCTTCGCTGCCACGCCGAGCAAATTTATGAGTCAACAAATTCGATGCCATCCACTCATATCCGCTTACCGTGCCACATCGTAGCTTTGTGGCACTGTAACCCGACTCGTGATACCTTCTGATGTGAGTTTAAATTTACCAATGTAACGCTATTATAATAATGCGATGCACTGTGGCCATGAATCCTACCGTACGAGTACTGGAGTAAAGCACCCGCAACTATGGCACAGCCCCCGAGTGATCACCCGTGTTAATAGAAATACAAGTAGTATTGTTAGTGGCAATCTGATTCAGTGGAGAGGTGTGCCGCGGCCAATCACAACGCATCTCATGCCATCCCATACTGTAGATGATGACAGGGATTAACTTGGCCATCGATTGGGGAACCCTGACTTCACCCTCACACGGAGCCATGCACACACTTGTCGAAAGGATGAAACAGACTTGGCCAGGGCATGGTTATAAATTTTTTAGGATTCGGATTCGCGAATGGTATGATACCGCACTAATCCGACATCGATGATCCTCAATAATCGCAAAAAGTAAGAGAGAAAGGCTTGAAATTATTTGTCGTGCTTTTTTTCCCCTTTCCACGACCTTGTTTATTCGCCCCTTCAGAGTCTTGCAAAAACAGTGGGTGGGCATCTCATTCAACCAGTCAACCCCTGACATATATAGCGTTTTAATACATTCCAAGAAACCCAAGCGACAAATGCGGTCCCAACAAGCGAATAAGCTTAAACAATGGCGTAGTCCGGGGATATGTATTGGTCGAGAACAAGGGGTTTAATCTCAGCCCCGATTGCCTTTCTCTTCCCAATCATGCACTCGCTTGGTCACACAAAACACACACACACACCCTGTGCCTGAAAGATGAATGGAACGGGCGTAACGGGTTGGGTTTTACCTTTTTTTTTTTTTTTGGTCGGGTTTCCGCTTTATCCCGTTTTAGCTTTAGTGTGACTGGCTCTTGATTGAGCACGGTGCTATTGGCATCGTGGGTATATCTCTCCTTATTCCCCCCTGATATTCCGGGTCTTTTGAGCGTTTTCGGTTTCCTTTCAAACTACGACACGTTCTTTACTGTGTGATACTTGTACAGTACCCGCATTCACGATGCTCGCCTCGTCATCCTCTCTCCTTGTCTTGTTGACCCTCATTACCTCTTCCCTCACGGGCACTAGGGCGGAGCCAGTCCGTGCAAAACGCCTCCTGTTTCCCCGTCAGAACAGCTCGTTCGGAGGATGGGGTCTGAGGATGATCAACTGCCCCGCGGAAACTCAGAAATGCACTGGCAATAGTGGTTGTTGTCCGAAGGATATGGTCTGCGTAACGAGCAGTCTTATGGGAGCGTTGGCTTGCTGTCCTACGAGTATGCCTCCCTCCCTCCCCCCCTCCCTTCCTCGCACTCTCTGCCCTTCGGATCGGGAGGAAGGAGAGCGGGTAGGTTTGTCGGTGACTGACTTGGGAAACAGAGGAATCCTGCGCGGAGGTGATAAAGACACTCCCCGTCTGTCCGGACCCGAGCTGGACGCTCTGGCAGAACGAGGACCAGGAACCGTTCTGTTGTCTGCCCGGTCAATTCGGGTATCAGACCGCACCCGGCACGTTCGGCCCCGGGTCCAGTTGTGCCGACCCCGGGATGCCGGTTGCGGCGAGTTTGTTAGCTAAGAGTGTTTGTACCCCCTACGGTCTACCTTGCCCCTGAGAATCAGAACCTGACATGCGGTGGACGAAATAGTTGGCCCCCGCTCAAGGCAGCGGTTCAGCAACCGCCACCGGAACCGCCCGCAGCGGCGCAACGACCACGCGAGGCCGCTCACCAGCAACCGCCACCCCAGGCTCTTCGGAAGTGGACTCCGCCGGCGCCGCCAGCGAGACGGGGGGAGGGAACTCGTCACCGTCCACACCAACAGATTCTAGCAATACCGCCAATTCCGGACTATCCACCGGAGCCATCGCGGGAATCGGTGCTGGCGCGGCCATCGTCGGAATCGCCTTGATTGGGGGTGGGATTTGGTGGGGCTTCAAGAAGGGGCAACAGAAGGGGAGGGAGGGGAAGGTTGTTGTCGAGAACTTTGTGCCTGCACCGGAGTACACTGTTGGTGGGCATGGTGGTGGCGGTGGAGCTCCGGGCACTAGAGGGGTTATGGGTGTTGGTGCGCATGAGAAGCCCGCCGGGATGACGCAGGCTGCGGAGGTGTATGGTACGGCTGGGAGGAGGGTAGAGATGCAGGCTTGATCTTGACATCAACTCCTCCTTTTGATTTTTCCTTTCTATTTTGGTTCTTTACTTATTTATTTAGTGGCTTTACCTTATGGCTATGGGGAGATGTGTGTGTGTAACGTAGCGTTGAGAGCGGTTGAACGAGTGATCCTTGATGACTCCTTATATTTATACCATAACTAAATACAGTAATCAGAGATATTGGATGAAGTCCCCAGCCAGGTATCATATCTAGTCAAAGATGGCAAAAGCACACGTGACAACACCAGTCTCCTTACAGTCCTGTAAAATCAACCCGATATCTCTTTGCATCGGCAATCAACCCCTAACATGAATTGGCCAAAGGAAACGCCCCGTAACAAACCTACCTACCCACAGACACATTGACCGGATAAACGCCTTACAAGAATATACAGTACTAGTACACACACCCCGACGCCACTCCACCGAAAGCGTAGGCACCAGGCAAAGAGGAAAACACCACGCATGAATCCCCCGCCCTCATCCGCGCACTCCGGTCCATGAGCCATGGAACATACACGGCATCAACCAGGTGCCGGATGACAAATTCCCATGCAAAAGTGCTGCACTCATCCCGAGAATCTCGACCGCATGTTGGATGGGTGGGGAATTCCTGGTATCGTGCTATACTCGACGCTTCTCGGGGCTGTGCATAACCTACTGGCGCTACTGTACTATATAGCTCTTCCGAATCCCGATTCGATCCGATCCGCTCTCCTCTCCACAGGCTTTGCGCGGGATCGAAACATTCATACCGCGAACTCGGATATGAGTACTATATTCCGAACCCCACCCGGCCGATATCATAGTTCAGTTAAGGTTTTCAAACCCCCCCTACACCGGGATTTACCCGGAGCTCCTGCCCTTGCCCTCATCAGCGAGCGAGTGCGCACAATTATTCACAATCTCTTCGTAAAGCGCTAGAGCGTCTGCGCCAATTTCTTCTCCGAGGTTTGAGTGCTGTAGAGTCTGGCGGTTCGGGCTGAACTCGACGTTTTTCATTTTCATTTTTTTTTTCACAAAAGCTACGGTGTTTGCTGGAACTGGTGCTCATCTTGGTATCATAGAAACTGCCGTGTTGTGGGGCGGGGGAGTGGGGGACTTGACTGGATGGAACTCTTGTGTGATTGCCGGTCCGGAGTTGGGAATGCAGAGCTTGTTTGGTAGTGGCGGGAGGACCTCGGGGTGGGTGGGGGGTTATCCACTGGGTCTATAGCGTCTATGGAAAACTCGTGTTTTTAAGGGTTAGCGGGGGGGAGTAGCGGTATGTGAACGTCGGTGTTTATCCCATTGCACTGATGTGTATAGAATTGTGCTCTGGCAGGATACTTACGGAGCCACAGTTTAACGTTTCCCGGTGAAATACCGGTCCTCTTTCGTACTGGGTTCGTGGAGGGAGGGATGGATTCACGGAATGGTGGATTCGTGAGTGTGGCTTTTGATCACTGGGTGTGTCGGGGTGTAGTGGGGGTGTTGGGATCTTGCCCGCTGGCGATTGCTACAGTGCGGTACCGTAAGGTAATATAAGTGCTTACAAGGCCATCTCTTTAGATATCGAGGAAGAGGTGTTGATATACCGTACTCGTTGTCGCTCGGCAGGGAAATTGTTCCCTAGAGACCTTTGAAATACGGGGGGGCAAACCAGAAAGTGAACTCATCAAAGTAGGGTAACAAAAAAAATGCCTGTTACTGATCCCTCCTGTTCATCACCCGTCGGTTCCATGACCCCCTTGAAGACTCTGCCATCTGCCTACTTTCTCCCAAACCACTTCAAAACCCCCTTGGCCTTCCCTTCCTTTTCCTTCTTCTCCACCTCCACCTCCTTCACCTCTTCCACGTTTTCCCTCTCCTCCTTTGCTCGATAATCCTTCCTCGCACTCCCTTCCCACTTGGAATTCAAATCTCTGCGGTCAATCGCATTCGCAGGTCCCCCAACCGCCAGCACCTTCCCCTCCTTGCCAAACCCCCAGCTGCCCCTTCCGACCTCCATGTTTCTAACACGAGCCTTGCGGTCGCAAACCCGAAACAAAAGCCCAGCGGGAACACTTGCCAACTTTCCCACCATCCCCTCACACGCTTCCAAGCCTCTGTTAACCATCTCCGGCCCAAGCACAAACTTCATACCAACCTGCTCGTAATCCACCGCCGCGCCGCACATGATATCTCGACAACTCTGGTACGCTCTTCGGGCCGGGCCGAGGTCGCCAAAGTGGAGGTGTAGCGCCCCGAGCTGGTATTGTGCGACGGCGAGGTAGGGATCTATCGACGTGGCAGTGCGCAGGGAGGAGAGGGCTTCCCGTGGAGATGAAAGAAGGAGGTGGATTGCCGCAATATTGAAGTGGATTGTTGCGCAGGGGTGGGGGAAGAGAGCTAGATGCTCATTGTAGAGGTTTTGGGATGTTATGAGGTCGTAGGCGTCAAAGTGGGATTCCGCGAGGACAAGAAGGTTGAGAGAGGAGCGGGTTGGTGCTAATTGCTGGGGAAGTGGAGGTGAAGGAGTGGTGGAAGTTGAGGGGAAGTGAGGGTGTTTAATGTCGGTCATTTGATTTTGATCCTTATAATGCTTTGGGTGAGTGGAGAGGGTGGGTTTATGTGGTGAGGTAGAGGTTTTTTTTTTCGGTGTGGTGTTGTAGAGAAGTCTGATAGAGATCTCGGTGGTTACGTTTTGGGAATGATGTACTCAAATAGCATGTATCATACTATGAGAAGCTTCTATTAGGGTCACGCGCTCCTTTGAACCTATACTACCCAAAAGTCTACGGTCCCCAATAATCCCGAACTAAATAAGCACAATAACCTGCCATTCCAGCCAAAACTCCCTGGGAAGCGAGGGATCCTATGACCCGACCTCTCCCCCAGGTGCCCTTCCTCATAAACCCAAACTTACTATCAAACAATTAGCCCCCCGGTTGCCCCGTCACCGTTCTCAACCCCACACCCACAGGAAAAACTCACATCTGCGATACCTTTCCCACAAACAATGCCCCCAGGGCATAATTCACCAACCTTCGATTCCCCGCATTCAACTCCGCAAGCGCAGCGAGGATCATAGCCATTGGCACCGTCTCAAGGTAATTCCCCAAACACCTTCCTGCCGAGAATAGCGGGTCAGGGTTCTGCGGATCCTCACCGCGAGATATCTCGGTCTTTCCGAACTCTGTCTTTCCCAGTTCGGTTTTATTCATCGCCCCGAGTTCGTTCTGGCTCACGGCGACGTGGTCGCTAACGTATGTTTTTGTGCTGTGACGGACCAGCGCGACTCGTGTGGAGAGGAGGAATAGGTACGCACCAAATGGGAGGGTCTAGGCAGCTGTCGCGGCTGGAGAGGTCTGCTTTAGCTTTTGCTTAAAAGTATAGGGAGGGGGAGACTACGCGTCTGTGACAGGCGTACGGGGATGAGGCCAATTGTGTGCGCGTGGGATGCCATTGGGGATTGAGGTGGGCGGAAAGGGGATGGGTAAATGAGGGGAGAGAATTCTAGGGCGTTGGGCGCATATATGTGGTTTTCATACTGGTTTCCGTACAAATGAAGTTGAGCGCTGAGAATTGATATTGTCTCATGATTACCGGTGATGGACTGGGGTCACTACTATTCTTCCAAAAGTGGTTAGCGTCGTTAGAACTTGTGCTTTGCTCGTAGAATTCCATACTAAAATAAATTTTAGTATTATAGACTAGCCGTATGATACCCTACAGATTTGGATATCGTAGCGCAACTTGGGGTTCATTTGGGTAGTTGAGAATTCTTAAGCCGCAATAATGTCAAGCACTTCTGCGTGTTCGCAAGTGAAATCGCACATGTGCCCAACAGCCATTTTTGAAGACGTCACTAGCGCGGTAGAGAAGAGCCGCCTTGTCGGGAGACCCGGGGGACGGGGTTGTGGAGGGTGGGGTGGGCGGAGGTGGAGCTTGATATTGATGAGCCGGGAGCTCCACACACTATGTTCTGGAGAGGACGGTTGAGTATAAGAGTTAAGTCGACATTACAGCACCGTACAGCGGAGGAGTCTTGTGCATGGTGCAGGGCTTTAGCTGGGATATGCAAGCTGGACGAAATGAAATGCAGGACCACAATCAGCAGGAGAAGATGATCGAAAGCGAAAGCCTCAACCTGGATATTATACAAGCGCCGCCCCTCTGGAATGTTGCGACGGACGCCTTAGCCTCTGAAGGGGTGGGGGGGGGGGTTCCCCGGGGCTAGCTCTGGGCGAATTTCTTAGCCAGCAACTCTCCCTGGTTATGCGGGAGGGATGATAACATTAGGGAGGAGGAGGTTTCTTCTGCGCTCTTGGAGTTTTTCGAGAGGTGATGAGGGTATGCTGTCGGCAGTTTTGAGAGTCGGCGGAGGGGTGTATTCTGAGTTGGGCTTTTTTTATTTTATTTGGCCCATAGTGTAATCTCGATTATTTCGTGAACATCTTCAGGTCTTCGAAGGTGTTTATTTATATGACTAACTCCGCTTCATACTAATACTGACCATTCGTGATACAAACTTGGGCATGGCCCACAGAACCCGGATAAGAGGGGGAAACAGGGCTCTAGGATTGTAGGTGATGTTTTTTTGCGATATTCCTCCCTTATTTGTCGACCTCTTTTGTGTTTTGCCAAAATCATCATGTTAGTGATCAAGTTATCGCTCTGTCTTCTGCCGGCCTCGTCTGTTGTGGACGCAACGCACGGGGTGCTGTAGAATATCATACTCGATTTGACCACTGACCGGAAATGTCACTGGAAGGCACCATGGGTGTTTTTCCCGACACCCCCTCCCATGTTTAGTGCCTGAGCACGACTCCCGCTCTGTCATTTGACAGTGGTTCCGATTTTTCGGTTGGCGAAGGGAGGAAATGCTTCCGTAGATACTATACCGGTAACAAGTTGTTAGGGTGATAACTAGGATACGATACAGGTTGGTTCATTTTCTGCCGGGATATGCAGGCGTATAAACCCTAAACCGCGCGCGCCTCTGACTAGGAAGCTCCAATATTTCACCTCCGGGGTACGATAAGCGTAAAAGCTGCCCTAAAAAAAGTTGATAAAGGCGCTGGGTTAGGCGAGTGCTCTCAATATGCAAGCTACCGAAAACTACTCGTAGAGTACAGTACAAAGTGGACAATCTTTTGTCGGCTAAAAATTTACCTCACATTCGGGTAGTGGAGAACGGGGAACAAGCAGTAGCCATTGACACGAAATCCCGCGGGGCAACCATGTTTTATCCACTTCGTCCATCTTTCGGTGCGAAGTGGTAGGGGAAATCGAAAGTCTTATATAGTTGGTAGCCTGGTTGGGAGGGGGGGTAGTTCCTTTACAGAGAATTTTCTGGAGTTAAAAGATATATCATAATAGGTCGGATTTCGAATGGCGAATTGAACGCAGTCTGTTATTGTAGAAAGCGCCAGTTGGGATTAGGGTTCTGCTGGTTACACATACTCGTAGTGAGTTCAGGTCTTACACTGAAAAGGATGAAGCCAAGCGTTTAAAAATAACTTGAAATGGCGCCGCTCACTGGATTCGGCTCTAGTGTGATACTGTACTGTACCTACAAGTAAGTACTCGTAGGGGGCGGATAGTTGTCGCGTTGGATTTTCTCGCTGCGGTGCTGTTTGGGCAGATGCTCCAAGGAGGGCATTATGATGGACGAAAAGCTGGTTGGGTGACTGCCAAAATAGAGACAGGGAGATGGAGTGATTGTCTGCAGTGAGGTTAATATCCAACTACTCATATCTGCCCCTTTCCCCTTTTTCTTTTCCTACACTACTGGTACTGGGACAAATAATGTTGTGCATCGAGGTGTACTAGTACTTGTATCGAGCCAACTCCCGGCTTTAGCTCGGCTCAAAGTATATCTTGAATTTGCCTTGGAAGTGTATGATAAACCTTCTAGGCGATTGATTGTGTTTGGCCTGCTAGAGCTTTACAAGTAGTTGAATGATTTGGGATTATGGTGGCGATTAGAGAGTATCAAATTTGTTTTTGTGAATTCCGTGGATCGGATCGGCGGATCTGGTGGAGCAGCGGGGAGTTTTGTAGTGTGGTAGCTCGGACTGAAAGCACTGTCTCCCGAAGATGAGAGATACGATAGTGGCCTTGAAAAGTACAGGACATAAACTTGATAACGTAAATCTCCCGACCCATAGAAGACATCCAGGTCTATCACATGTTCTGGGATTAAAGTAACCCATGACTAGCAACCCCATCGGCCGGCCATTCTGTTCCTCCCCCGGTTTTTTTTCTTCCCTAGGCATCGTATTATATTTTCCGTAAAATGAAATAATTGAGCGTACTGTACATATCCAGTCAGGTCTCAGAGCATGGTAGCCCCTCTACCAGTGATAGAGGAGTCTGATGAATTCGCCTTGCTAAGTATTTTAGAGGGCAACGATTAAAGCAAATGAAATACGCCTTCGATCGGGAGGGGGCGACTTTTGGGAGGAGTGTGGAATTCCGTTTGTTCCCATCCGCTTGTCTAACTAAACGGTAGAAGACAGGAGTATTTTTTCTAAATAAATCAAGGCAAAAAACGTCCACACATATCCGCTACTGGACGTGCCTCCCATTCCCCTGCACCCGCAAGAATGGAGGAAAAGACATCATTCACAAAGACTCCCACGGTTCATAGCCTTCGTGCAGTCTCCTTGACTTTCCTGCTTTTGACCTTGTTTCCTGCGGCAGATGCATTCATCCAAGGAATATCTCCGAAACATTTGTCCAAACGATGAAATAGCTACCTGAGCATGCCGAGTAGCCTCCGTGATTTCTAGCGAACTATGGGGTCATCAGGTTCTATATTTTTGGATCTTCCTTATCGTACAATTCTCAGCAATTGAATGACCTTCCATAATCCCCTGGAGCCCTCGCGTTAACTCCGGGTCACCAGGCGTTGGAATGAAGCTTATCAGCGAAGGAGGTGTCAGATTTCAAATTGAAGGTTGTCACAGGAATCAGGATTTTTGTCCTCGACCAATTTTAACACTCGTAGCAATACAGATGGAAGCTGCCGCCCCGGGTGGTGGGTTAGCAGAAATGAGAGTTGGATGGTGGTGCACCACCTCCTGCCCCCACATGGTCCGAGTGAACCTTTTCAATACCATGCTCTTGGCGAAAAAACCTTCCGGATACCATTGACCGAGAAATATACTAGCATGGAAAAGGTGAAACCTTCGCACAGAACCACATCGGTCTGACCTCGCTTAATAGTAGTATGTTCTTGGTGATTTTTTGGGCCAAGAATCCTAAGAAAATTGCTAAAAAAAAAATTTAGAAAAATATTAGCAGGTCTCAAGTAGTTCTGGATTTTTTATAAGATTTTTTACAATATTTTTGGATTGTTTGAGGGGTAAAAGGACTGGGGAACTCTGTGCTAGAGTGAATATTTTGTTGATCGTTGCAATGTGAAACCTTGTGATGGTATGCTTTTGCCAAGAATAGTATTATAAAGGTACCCCCCCCGTTTTCCATGGTATTTGAAAGGTTTTCTCTGTGCTGGCAACTCCCATGCAAAGTGCCAAACTCGGGGGGGTCTAGGGCGGTCAAACGTGAGGATTCCTATGCGGGATGAATAATTGGATTATCGGTATCCGAGCATTTGAGGTAAGAGCAGAAAAGCGCATACTCGAGTGTGCATGCAGATGCGGCCAAGAAGACATGGGTGAATTGATTTGACAGAAATTTTGTCTGCGGGAATGGGGTAAAAAATATCGTATCTCCGTTTACCACGACGATTAAGGCTACAAGTATGTTCTCAT